GAAACAGGATATAATATATATCAATTTCAAAAGTAGAGATCAACACAAGACTCTATGCACTCACAATAAAGATAAGGGAACACATCCCAAGACATCAAGAAGTACAATGACACTCAAGAATGGCTCAAGGCGTAAACTACCATCACACAGTAGATTATCACCCGACATGCATAACGCAATAGAATAAGGACACAACCATTGGCAATACATGTCTTTGTGACAACACAGGTCACAAATAGAGAAATAAACAACAACGGCTACACAAGCCTTCGTGACATCACCCATCACGAATTGATATGCCTTCCTTATGCCCGGTTCCAACCTTATGGCTACACCCAACCTTATAGCTAGTTCCAACCTGTACCTCCAGGACCCCTGTACACCAAGTCCAACCTTATTCCCCCGAGGACCGTCGTCCCCACTCTGACAATCTCCGATCCAACAATACCACCGATTTCATAGTACACGAGGGTACCAATCACACATGGCAACACATGCCTTGGTAACACATGTTACCCTTTAACAAATACGTGAACCTTACACATAGGTCACAAACTCCCTAATTGCGTCATGGCCACCACGAGGACCACTGCCGTACCTTAGTGACTAATGTCCCATACCATTAATCGTGTAATCTAGGTACAGCCACACACACCACACCACAATGGGAATCAATCAACAAGGAATGGATCACAATTCGACTCCAACGATGATTAACACAAGTCATCATCCATAAAAGGAAAGGACAAACAACACACACGCTAGCATTGAAACACCAAACTAGCATGCTTATCAAACGGGTAAACCAAACATAGTTCCGAAGAACACGCAAGACTCACCATGGTTCAACGAATCACAATGTTGAACACTTAGCACGATTCAAGACACCAAAACCTACATGGAATCCTACCATATAGTTATAGACATACGAAACATCAAGAAGACACTCAAATAGTTCCACAAAAGAACATCGAGAAGTCAAAAGACCAAATACCGAGTCAAAAGAATCACGGGGAACAAATCCCCAACCATCATCAAAATACGTACCCGCGGGTGGGGCCACGGGTGGACTCCCACCCGTGGTTCCGCCCGCGGGAACCTACTCCCACCAGCCATGTACCCCGCGGGTGGGGCGGCGGGTGGAGCTCTGCCCGCCGTTCCGCCCGCGGGTACAAAACTCTGTACCAAATAATCCCTTCGGGGATTTTCAACACCAAGCTCAAATTCAAGTCCAAAACATGCCAAATCTCACCAAATACAACAAAATGACTTGATTCAAAGGAATAGCCAAGCAATGGCATACATGAACCCTAATAACAAGCTCTAGATATGCATTTTCACAAGACAATGCATCAACACTCAAATTTCATAGCAAAATCACATGTAGAATCCAATAAATCATCATATAGGTAAGTAAAATAGATTTTTGTAGAGCATGGGTTACCTCTTGTAGACAAAAAACTTCACAAAGCTCCTAATAAGGTTCACCTTCCACACCCACTTCAAGAACACACCAAAAGATCATAAAGATTCTATCTTTAAGGAAAGACACCTTAGAAAACAATAAAAACACAATATAAACATAGATCTTACCCTCCTAAATGCTCAAAGGTAGGAAAGGTGGAATCTTGAACACAAACTTTGAAGATTTGGTAAAGCTCCAACTTGGCTTGGAAGAAAAGCTATCTAACTTGTAGAGAGAAGGAGGAGCTGAAGTTTAGAAAGTGTAAGGGAAAGAATGAAGGGTGTCTTCAAGGTTAGCTTGCATTGCTAACATATGGTGAAATGTCTTGATTACCCTTACTAAAATGAAGAGGTGTAAGGGAACAAGGGAACCACAAACAAAGCTTAAGGTACAACACTTGACTTTGGGTTGACTAGTCAATTTCTAGTCCCCGACTATTGAATTTTCAGGAATTTAAGGAATTAATCTATCAATTGGATTAGGATTAGTGACTTAATTAATCCCTTAATTGAATTTGGATTACGGGGTGTCACATTCCAATAGACAACGAAGGAAAACAAGGCAACACACATAGATAACAAAGAACAAGATGCGTTCTAAAGACAAGGGTGGCTAGAAAAAGATTACCTGCTAACTCCTCCTCAACTAAGCCCTCGGTCTCCGCCTGCGATCGCCCCATCACAAAGACTCTCCCCGATGGTCTGGCCCCGGCTGCTCCACGGCTCGAGCTACCTCTTGCTGCTCCTCCGGATCCTGGAGGTGGTGGCAACGCCCTTTGGTTGACTTGCTGAGGGCACTCGGCGATCTTGTGTCCCTTCTCTCCACAACGGAAACATCGTGACACGAAGCCATTGCAATCCTGGCCTGCATGCACCTTCCCACATCTACGGCAAGGGAACGCCTTGGCTTGATTTCCATGCTCCGCTCGATTTGATCCCTGGGTCGGAGACGACACATTCTTGGCTTGAAAGCTCGGTCGCTGCTTCTTTTAGTTGGAAGAGCCTCCACTCTCGATCCTCTTTCTTGCAAGCTCATAAGACCCTCGCTGTAGCTGCTGAACACGATACAAATCCGCGGCACTCACATATGCATCCTTCAAAGAGCTCGACCTACTCAAGGTTAAGGCCTTTCGTGCCTCGTAGTTCAAGCTAGCTACGAACTTCTCAACTTTGCGAGCTCGATAGGAACAAGCATCCGGGCGAAGTGCGCAAGCTCTAGAAACTTCTTGTGGTACTCAAACACTGATGAAGATCCTTGCTGAAGATGGAGGAATTCCTCGTACATCGCGGCTCGCACATGCGCCGGGTAGAACCTCTCACGCATCCGATCCTTAAGGGCAGACCAATCAAACTCAGGCTCCTCGAGGCAAGCTGGGCCCTCGTGTATCCACCACAAATCGGCCTCATCTAAAAGCAAAGAAACTAAACCAACTACCCAAACTACAAGCTAACAACCACAGCAAACAAGAGAGAACAATTAAACGCACAACTGAGCAAACAACTACCAACGAACCTACTAACAAAACAATCAAGGGATGCAACAAGGTTCCACAACGAAAACGATAAACGGATGACAAAACTTAAGAGATGGGTTGCAAACGAGGTTTTAAGCAACAAAGGTGCTGGCCAACTAACCAAAGTTAGAGAAACCAAGGGTTCAAATTAAGGTGGTAAGATAGATAGGTTTGGTCACAACGAAGTTCAACACCAAAACCGTCGGTTAACAAATCGAGAGACAAGACTTAGAGATAGGTTGAGGGTTCACAAAGGTAAGACAAGAAAGAAAGATGAGGTGATAGATAAAAGATTTACTGGAAAAGAAAGCTAACTTCACACCGAGCCTAACTCCGGCTCAAAACTAGCCAACGATCTACTCAAAACGGGACGGCTCAGCTAAGGAACAAGCCACAAACAGAAAGGTCCACACACGACAAAACCAGGGTTGCATCTTCAACTACTCTCCGCTGACTTCTTCAACCAAAGGAAGAAAGGTCCACACACGACACAACTTGAGCTCGGTAACCGCTTGAACTTGATCCGTCACCTCCAGACAAGGCTACAACTGCTAGATCCAAAACACGAGCAGGATGTCCTTCTCTCCGGCTCTTGGGCTAACTTGATGCAGGCTGCCAACTTAACACTTGCATTAGCACACCGCCCACAACTCTCTACAAAGCAGCGCTTGAAAACTTCAAAACTTTAGTCCGGATGAAAGGTTTAAAACAAGAACGGTAACAAAGGAGAAAGGTAACTCAGGGGAAAGAAGGCTTATAAGAAACGATTCGGTTCAACGGAAAAGATTAGAGTGAAGGGTTTTAAGGTTCAGAAACTCAAGGACCATGTTACTTAGGAGTAGGATCAAAGTCATCAAAGTTGCAACTTAGGAAATAAGGTTGCCACCTTGCACGGAATCGTTAGAAGCAGGGAATACAAGAACGAGGTTCGATTCAAAGGGGAAGATCAAGGTGAGAGTTTAGGTTCAACAATTCAAATGTTGATTAAGAAGAAGAGAATTGTAAACGAGGTTACAACTTAGGGAGTAAGAATCAAACAGGGTTTAAAGGAGTTGAAAAGAATTTCTCCACGGAGGGTATTCGGTTTAAACTCAAGGAAAAAGTTGATTAGGAAGGGGATCAAGATTTTCAAAGTCACAACTTAGAAAAGATGAGGTCGTAACCTTGAATAGAGTCAAATCAAGAGAGGAACAAGAACGAGGTTTGAAAAGATAGGAAGGATTTCTCGAAAAGGGGCAAGGGATGAAGATCGGTTTCAGGAGGTGAAAGGGTTCGCGACTTCCGACAAAACTTCGACTTTGAGCTGATTACTATGCTTGTTGAACTGAAGGCTCTCTACCTCGACTCCAACGCGGCTTAACTCTTAGACCTTGCCAAATTCCTCCATAAGCTGATGACATTGCCGCCTTGCACAAGATGGTCCGGAAGAAAATGATTGCTTGGCAAAAACGGTGATTGGGTTTGTCTAAAGGAAAAAAGAGATTTCCGAGGCTCAAGGGTAACACTCAAACAAGCTAACGCCCGAAGCTAACACGCAGGAAAGGCACAAAGACGAAGGAAGGTGCAACAAAATGGTACAAGAGCTTACTTCAACGGTTCCCACTTGCATTTGCTTCACGACTGTGGATCATGTTTTGCCGAGGTCCCGACTTCGTACATAGGTCCTGGTTGCTACTTCCACTTAGCCCATTGTTGCTTCCACTTCGATGCTTACTTCCCGACCCAGGCCTTACACTACCAACTAGTTTTGAGTTCGCTAAAGTCTTCTTCTTAACTCTGCACTCAAAGGACCGATGACCCTTCTTGCCACAAGCAAAGCACTCTATCGGTTTCCCAAGACAGTCCATGTCGGGGTGGTCACTTCCACACTTCTTGCAAACGGAGCGCCTTCCCTTAGCCTTGATCTTCCGGATTGGCTGGGGAGCGTTACCTATTTTAAAACCATCTCTTTGAAAACTTCTTGTTGATTCGGCATCGGTAGGCATTAAACCCCTAACCACAGGTGAAACACTTTCTTCTAGCTTCCTCATATGGTTTTCCCGGATTCCTTTCTGAACTTGTTGTACTCGGTAAAGGTCAGCGACACAACAGTAGGCTTCCTTGGCTTGAGCAGGATAGAACCGCTCGCATAACTTAACCTTCAGGTCTTCCCAACTGAACTCCGGATCTTGTCTACAAGCTGGTCTTTCAAGCATCCACCACGAATCCGCTTCTTACCTAAGGTAGAACGTAGCTAACTCCACCTGGCAATCCTCTGGGCATACCACCGCTTCGAAGATCTTGTCAAACATTCGGATCCACTCGTCCAGCATTGTGGAATCTTTTTCACCGGCGAAGATCGGGGGACAGAGACTTGAGACTTGGCGTACTACGTCACGATTCCCAATCTGAAGAGGGTGGTTGTTGAGGAGGGCGTTGCTTAGCGTCTGGGTGATTTGCGTCAATTGATGAAAGCTTTGAGCTAACTTCTTCTGAAGACCTTGCACGACGTCTTGATGGTGCCATCCTCGACTTCTACAGCAACAACACGATAACGGGAGGAAACTTAGGACCCGCACCTTTACCTGGTGCCTTAACTAAAGAGAACCAAAGCTAACAGGAAAACAAAGCACAGAAAACACAACAGAAAACGACACATGAACTCACAACCTCACCGCGCGTCTTAAAGTCCTAAGTCCTAAACACTTAGATTCTTAAGGTCGCTTAGGGTCTCAAACCACACTTAACTGCTTAAAAGTCTAGACCCTAACATCCTAGGCTCAAACCTAGGCTCTGATACCAAATGTAACACCCCCGATTTCCATACCAAATTAAACCATAAACATGCAGATAATTCTAACCATAAAAGCATACACAGCGAAAGACTTAAGCGTGAAATAGATGGAAAACGTAGAGTGTTATGCCACGCTCACACAACGGTGAACGCACAGGCATAAACATCTGCAACATAATCTATCAATCCCAAAAACATAGTCAACAACATAAGTCTAAAGTCTAAACAAAGGCACGCAGGCCCAAACCATCATAAGGAAAAGAGGATCTACTCTAACTACCTCTAGACCGTGCTCTCATCTACTCAGCACCTGAAAGAACACAGATATATATGGGACGACGCCCGGTCAATGAAAGATGTTGGTAACCCACCATTACATGTGAAATATCATATGTAGATAATTTATATATATATAATCATTTGCGAGACAGGATATAATATATATCAATTTCAAAAGCCAAGATAGAGATCAACACAAGACTCTATGCACTCACAATAAAGATAATGGAACACATCCCAAGACATCAAGAAGTACAACGACACTCAAGAACGGCTCAAGGCGTAATCTACCATCGTACAGTAGATTATCACCTGACATGCATAACGCAATAGAATAAGGACACAACCATTGGCAACACATGCCTTTGTGACAACACATGTCACAAATAGAGAAATACACAACAAAGGCTACACAAGCCTTCATGACATCACCCATCACGAATTGAGATGTCTTCCTTATGCCCGGTTCCAACCTTATAGCTACCCCAACCTTATATCTAGTTCCAACCTTTACCTCCAGGACCCCTGTACACCAAGTCCAACCTTATTCCCCCGAGGACCATCGTCCCCTCTCCGACAATCTCCAACAATACCACCAATTTCATAGTACACGAGGGTACCGATCACACATGGCAACACATGCCTTTGCTAACACATTTTACCCTTTAACAAATACGTGAACCTTACACAAAGGTCACAAACTCCATAATCGCGTCATGGCCACCACGAGGACCACTGCCGTACCTTGGTGACTAATGTCCCATACCATTAGTCTTGCAATCCAGGTACAGCCACACACGCCACACCATCACAAGAATCAATCAACGGATCACAACGAAGATATGAAACCATACTCAACAAGGAAAGGATCACAATCCTTCTCCAACGATGATTAACACAAGTCATCATCCATAAAAGGAAAGGACAAACAACACACACGCTAGAATTTAAATACCAAACTAGCATGCTTATCAAACGGGTAAACCAAACATAGTTTCGAAGAACACGCAAGACTCACCATGGTTCAACGAATCACAATGTTGAACACTTAGCACGATTCAAGACACCAAAACCTACATGGATTCCTACCATAAAGTTATAGACATACGAAACATCAAGAAGACGCTCAAATAGTACCACAAAAGAACATCGGGAAGTTAAAAGACCACATACCGAGTCAAAAGAATCACGGGGAACAAATCCCCAACCATCATCAAAATACGTACCCGCGGGTGGGGCCACAGGTGGACCCCCACCCGTGGTTCCACCCGCGGGAACCTACTCCCACCAGCCATGTACCCCGCGGGTGGGGCGGCGGGTGGAGCTCTGCCCGCCGTTCCGCCCGCGGGTACACAACCCTGTACCAAATAATCCCTTCGGGGATTTTCAACACCAAGCTCAAATTCAAGTCCAAAACATGCCAAATCTCACCAAATACAACAAAATGACTTGATTCAAAGGAATAGCCAAGCAATGGCATACAAGAACCCTAATAACAAGCTCTAGATATGCATTTTCACAAGACAATGCATCAACACTCACATTTCATAGCAAAATCACATGTAGAATCCAATAAATCATCATATAGGTAAGCAAAATAGATTTTTTAGAGCATGGGTTACCTCTTGTAGACAAAAACCTTCCCTTAACACTTCACAAAGCTCCTAATAAGGTTCACCTTCCACACCCACTTCAAGAACACACCAAAAGATCATAAAGATTCTATCTTTAAGGAAAGACACCTTAGAAAACACTAAAAACACAAGATAAACATAGATCTTACCCTCCTAGATGCTCAAAGGTATAGGAAAGGTGGAATCTTGAAGACAAACTTTGAAGATTTGGTAAAGCTACAACTTGGCTTGGAAGAAAAGCTATCTAACTTTTAGAGAGAAGGAGGAGCTCAAGTTTAGAAAGTGTAAGGGAAAGAATGAAGGGTGTCTTCTAGGTTAGCTTGCATTACTAACATAAGGTGAAATGTCTTGATTACCCTTACTAAAATGAAGAGGTGTATGGGAACAAGGGAACTACTCACAAAACTTAAGGTACATCACTTGACTTTGGGTTGACTTGTCAATTACTAGTCCCCGACTATTGAATTTTCAGGAATTTAAGGAATTAATCTATCAATTGGATTAGGATTAGTTACTTAATTAATCCCTTAATTGAATTTGGATTACGGGGTGTCACATCCTCTCCCCCTTCAAAGAAGCTTCGTCCCCGAAGCTTGGGTACAAACGATGAAATGAAACAACAATGTGACAAGAGTGTCAAGAACATCCTTATTTGGATTATGGGGTGTCACATTCGATCTCTGGCAACTCCTCTTTTCCCCTCCTGTGACACCCCGTAAATCCAAACTCTAATCAAAGATTAATTAGAGAATTAATCCTAGCCTCTTTGTTAATTTATTCCTAAAAATCATGAAATTCGATAGTCGAGGGACTAGATTTTGACTAGTCACTAAAGTCAAAGGGTTGTACCTTGTGCTTCTTGAGTTGTGCCCTTGTTCCCTTGTATTTCCAATTCTAGTAAGGGTAGGGATGTCTTTCTACCTAAGGTTTGTGGTCCAAGCTAACCTAGCTACACTTCTTCATTTCATTCACCCTACAATCTAAACACAAAAATCTCTAGCTTCTCTCTAAAAAGGTGTAGCTTCTTCTCCAAGCTAGGATTTGAGCATCCCAAATCTTGCAAGTTGGATTCCAAGATTCCTACTTCTTCATCTTGAGCATAGGGGAGGGTAAGATCCTTGGTCTTTTGTGTTTTTAACCTCCTTTTAGGTGTCTTTTTCTAAAAGATAGAATCTTTGTTGTCTTTTGGTTTGTGTATGAAGTTGGTGTAGAAGAGGGGCTTTAGGAAAGGCTTTCTAGGGGTGAAAAGAAGAAGTTATTAGGCTACAAAAGTAACCCATGCCTTACAAAACCTATTTTCTTACTTATATGATGATTCTTGGCTTCTACTTGTGATTCTTGTGTTGAAATATGAGATTTGATGCATTGTCTTGTGGTGATGCATGTTTAGAGCTTGTTCTTAGGGTTCTTGAATGCCATTTCTTGGCTATTTCTTGGGTTCAAGTCATATTGTTATTTTGTGTGAGATTTTGGGTGTTTTGGACATGTTGTTGAAATTCCCCGAAGGGATTATTTTGGTGTACAGGGTGTACCTGCGGGCGGAACGGTGGGCAGAGGCCTATCCGCGGGGAACGAAAGGCTCATGGGTATGTACCCGCGGGCAGAGGTCCACCCGTGGCCCCACCCGCGGGGAACACTGTTGGACGATGGCGGGGATTTGTTCCCCGTGATTCTTTTGACTCGGTATTGATGTTTTGACCTCCCAATGTTGTTTTATTGGGCTATTTGTGAGTCTTCTTGATGTTTCGTATGTCTAGAACGATATGTTAGGAATCCATGTAGGATTTGGTGTCTTGAATCGTGCTAAGGGTCCGACTTTTTGATTCGTTGGACCATTGTGAGTTTTGAATTTTCTATAGAACTACTTTTGGTTTACCCGTTTGATAAGCATGCTAGTTTGATGTTGAAATGCTAGTATGTGCAGTTTGTTCTTTCTTATTGGGATTGGCAACTTGTGTTGACCATCGTTTGGTGTCGGATTGTGATCCTTCGCTGTTGAGTATGGTTTCATGTCTTTGTTGTGATCCATTGATTGATTCCTATGATGTGAACGTATGTAATCGTTGTACCCTTTTGATTGATACTTGATTAAGGTTATTGTGGAACCTTAGTCTTCTTTGTAATGATGATGACTTGTGTGACTATGATTGAATGTGGGTGGTTGTTACTTGAGCTTTGCTCACATGTAGGTGGTTGTGTGAATGAAATGAATAGTACCCCGTGTACTGAAATGTAGGTGGTATGTTGGAGATTATTAGAGGGGGGACCACGGTCCCTGGCGGTATAAGGTTGGACTCAGAAGTACAGGGTGGCACTAGGAGGTAATGGTTGGAACTGAAATAAGGTCGGGGGTAGCTATAAGGTTGGAACAGGGCATAAGGTTGGAACTATGAAACTTGTGACATGTAGTTGCCATATTGTGAATGTGTATTCTTGCTAATGAGCATGTCTTGATGTATTCTACTTTGTGGTTAGTAGAATGCATATTGAGTTGTATTGTCTTTCATGATTCTTGTCTTGTTATTGTCGTAAGGATGGTGATTCCTTTTCCTTTTGAGAGTGTTAATGAGTCCTTGAAGTTAACTTCTCTCTATGGCTTTTGAAATGATATATACTGTATTCCGTTTCAAAATGGTTTTGACTTATACTTATCTATATATGCTATTTAACGCGTATTGATGGGTTACCAGCAATATTCGCTGACCGGGTGTCATCCCCATGTTATGTTTTCCTTGTTCTATAGGTTTTGAGTAGATGCCCAATAGCGCTAGACTTGGAGCGTTAGATAGCTTAGTCACCTTGTCTAGACGTTTTGTTTTGATGGCCTGTGAGCCTTTTGAGCGGCCTGTGTGCCTTGACTCTGATTGATTTGTTTAAACTGTTTAGTTTTCCCGCTTGTGCATCTTTAGTACTTTAAGATATGGCATAATACCCCCATTTAGACTTGCTTCCGCTTAATGTTTAATGGATGATTAGATTGCTTATCTCTTACCTTTTAAGTTTTAAAAAATGTGGTAAAAATCGGGGGTGTTACACCTCTGTTCCGCCGAGCTGGGCAATAGATGGAAACCTCCCTTCCTCTGGCGTCAACAATGGACAGCAACAACAGAGCTTGGACGGCGAAGTTGATCTCTTGGTCTGGTCTAGGCAGCAGCAATGCTCAGCGAGCTCTTCTCTTTCTTGTCGACGGTAGGAAAGCAGCGGCGGAGTGGCGGAGTTTGCGAAGCAACCGGCAGCTGCTCTTCTTTTAGAACTTTGAAATTTTATATTATTTTAGAAAAATCTAGAAGTGAATTCTTAGACAATTGTATTCAATGCATTGTAATAGAACAAATTATGGATTGTTTTCAATAGTGTTGTTTTAGCCTGTGCGTTTGGATATAGGTTATCTAAACGTGGCGTAGCATCCCTTTTTTCCTTTTGTTTTGTTTAGCTTCCGCAACTAAAAATGGTTTTTAATAAAATAAATTCATTTTTATAAGTTATTTTGGTTAATGGAAAATGGGGGTGTTACAGCAGTGGCGCGGGTGGAGGTGCTACCATTGTTCCACCCGCGGCTTTGGCGGTTGGAAAAAGATTAAGATGGTGAGCTTCTGGTTTCATTTTGGGTGTTGTTGCTTAGTTGTGTTAATTAGTTTTTGTTAAGTAAAGATTATTAAGAAATGTTTTAGTGTAGTGGTAAGGAAGGTATTTGGTGATGGGAGAAGCTAGGGTTTGAATCCTACCTCTATTTAATTAATAGTTTTATTAAGTAAGCTTGGTTGTTAGCTTAACTACTAGTGTATTAGTGTTGTGATTAATTTATTAATAGGATGCTTGGCTTAGATGGTTGTGTTTGTGGGTAAATTAGGTAAGAACTAGGGTTTAAATCCCCTTATGAGTTTAGCTAGTTTTAATTAGCTTATTTGTTAACTAGTGAAGATCCGGTTTAATCCACAGGTTCCCGGTAGCATGGCTTTATCAGTTGAGCCTAAGTTAGCATTTTTTTGGATGGTTAAGCGAATGAGGTAACCCATGCTACACAAAACCTATTTTCACTTGATAATAATGATTATTGGCTTCTATGTGATATTCTTGATGTGTTTGAGTGATTGATGCATGATCTTGTGATAATGCATGTTTAGAGCTTGTATTTTAGGGTTCTTGAATTCTATTGTATGAGCTATTCATAGGTTCAAGTCATATCTTTGTTGTGTGGAAGATTTGGGGTCATTTGGACTTGAACTTGGCCTTGAAAGTGAATTTTCGCGAATGCTGATTTTTAGGCCCTGATGTACCCCGCGGGTACTACCACGAGTGGAGCCCTACCCGTGGCCCCACCCGCGGGGAACATATGTGGGGATTGCGGGGGTTTGTTCCCCGTGATCCTTTCTTCTTGGTATTTGATGTTTTGACCTCCCGTTGTTGAATTATTGAGCTTTTGTGAGTCTTCTTGATGTTAGGACTTGGTGTCTTGAATCGTGCTTGTGGTCCAACTTTGTGATTCGTTGGACTATTGTGAGTCTTTGCGGTTCATTGGAACCATTTTGGTTTACCCGTTTGATATGCATGCTAGTTTTGGTGTCATTGATGCTAATATGTATTGTTTGTCCCTTTCTATTGAGGATTGGCAACTCGTGTTGCCAACCATGTTGATATTGGATTGAGGTCCATTGTTTTTGTTGAGTATCGTTTCATGTCCTTCATTGAAACCCCTTGCTCGGATCCCTTGATGTGATCCTGTGTGTATGATTATTCCTTTATTAAGCTATTGTTGAGCTTATCCTTTGTTGTACACACTTTGTGTGGAATCTATACTAGGTGTTTTTGTATCTCTAGATTCCGTGTCTATTGACTCTTGTTGAGATGATGGGTTGATGTGATGAGATGATTGAGCTGGTAAAGTGGACAGTGTGGGACTTATGTGTGAATGCATCCGGTAGTGGGTTTAAAGCTCTGGATTGGGCTGCGGTCCTTGTCATTGCGATGACACTAGCATGTAATCCGGGTCGTTGCGATGACAACGTGATACATGATTGATGATTTGGAGCCCTCCACACTGATCCACTATGAATCGAGTCGTAGTGCTGACTCCACGGTATATGACTTGGTGCAATTATGTCCTAGGTGGACTTGGAACTTGGAAGTTGAACTTGAAACTATGAAACTGATGACATGAAGTTGTCATTGGTGGATTTGAATTCCTTGCTTATGAGCATGTCTTGATGTACTCTACCTTGTGATGGGTATGTTACATCCTGAGTTGTGTTGTCTATGTTGGTTGTGGTCTTGTCTTTGTTGTGAGGGTGATGATCCTCGTTTTTGTTGTGTGATGGTCCTTGATGTTGACTTCTTTTCCTTGGTTTTGAAATGATATATATTGTATTCCCCGTTTCAAATGGTTTTGATTATATCTATCTATATTATGATACTTAACGCGTATTGATGGGTTACCAGCATTATTCGCTGACCGGGTGTTGTCCCTTATTTTTACAGGTTTTGAGTAGATGCCGAGCGCGCTAGATGTGGACTCTAGATAGTATAGATCCCATGCTATACGTTTATCCTTTGTTGGCCTGTGTGCCTTAGAATCGTTGCTGTTTTGTTAGATTGTTATTGACTAGCCTGTGCACCCATGGTTTATGGGTGTAGCATAACATCTCTCCGATTTTAATTAAATTTCCGCTATTGTTTATCTTTATGATTAGATGTTTACCTTTGAATTTAAGTTTTAAAAATGTGGTAAAAATTGGGGGTGTTACAATCACCGACCTTTGTCATTATATGCCACATGCAGTAACGATGGCGAGACTCCGGAAATTCTTTCGCAATCACGACCTTCATCGCTGGGTCTTGATCGGTTATTGTGATAGACAATGTGCTACCCATTACGTTCTTGAAGTTCCTTAGGACCCAACAATACGAGTCCACATCTTCCCTAGCAATCAGTGCTGCTGTAACACCCCCAAATTTTCGAAACTTTTAAAACTTATGTAATAAAGGTAATTTCTCATTAAATCCCAAACAGAGCATTACTAAACATAAGTGTGCGAGGTGCTATGCCACATCTGAGCTGGAGAACTCAGATGCACAGGCTAAACTAACTAAATATCCTCAATACAACGTCATGGCACGCAGGCCGAAAGGAAAAACTATCTATCTAATCCAAGTTCTTCTAGCGCGCTCCGGAAGCTAATCATCTGTGCCTGAAAGCCAAATATATCTGTTCAGCGAATGATGCTGGTAACCCACTCCAAAGCGTTGAAGTACAATATAGGTAAATATATATATATATATATATATATATATGAAAACCATTTTGAACCAGGAAGATATATACTTAGGAGACTCTAGCTTTAAAACCAGAAATAGACTCGACAGGTAGGGATGAACACATTAAACAATGATAATCAATTATATAGAGACAACATCATAAGATCATGTATCTAAGGTCACAGCTCTCTTTCAAACCATTCACATCATCATTCAATCAATCATCCTTGTCACACAAGCACACTTTGGTGGCGCCACGGGACCAATCGCATGCCCCAAACAAGAGGGTTAGTGCATATAGCACAAACACGGCTCCGCAGCACCCTACCTCATACCGCAGCATGAAGGAATTGACCGCAGCCAATTGTATAGCCCGTCGATAGTTTCAACGGCGGATTACAGCCCTACACACCGCTGACGCGCTCAGTCGGTGGACTGTGATCCTCTTTTGGGGACTACGACCCTACACACCGCTTGACAAGCTCAGTCGGTGGGTCATAGCTGATCAAAGCCCTACACACCGCCTGAGAGACTCATTCGGTGGGCAATGATCTTTTGGGACTACGTCCCTACACACCGCTGGCACATACACTCGGTGGATCGCAGCCGACCATAGCCCTACACACCGCCTGATCACTCATTCGGTGGACTATGGCCTTCCTCGGGCTAGTGGCCCTACACACCGCCTGGCGCGTCCAGTCGGTGGACCATAGCACACGAGGCCCATGTGGACCGCAGCCCAAGAAGTGAGTCACTGACCGCAGCCAGGAGAATGAACCGCAGCTCATGAGTAACCAGTTTGACCACAGCCAAGATAACGAACCACAGCTCGTGTATAACCGCCACGGGTAGGTGGCGGGTACGCCTACCCCCCACTGACTGCTTTTCAAAATATACGCCCCGAGATCCTTCGTGGAACCCGAAACCATGCTTAGACACTTTTAAACGCAACTGATGACACCATGTAGACAATTAACGGATCAAAAGCAAGAATCACATAGAACACATCTTATCATGACTTCTAAACATAATCAACACCCGAACATGTGAATTCCCACCCAAATATACCAAGATTATCACAATACGAATTTCACGATTCATCCTAGGGCTCTAATCATATTTAAATCATCAATCATAGTTCATCTTTAATATCAAGAAACATTAAGATTTATCAAGAATATCATCAAGATCATCTTATCACCATCAAGATCATCAAGATCACACATAAAATCATCACATCATTCATCAAGATCACATCATAATTTTCATAGAAGACTTCATCAAGACACAAGCATATAGAGGGAGCCAAAGAAGAAGATTATAGCAAAGAAAATAGGTTTTGTTGAGACATGGGTTACCTCTTAGCCTTAATTAAGTTCATTGGCTATGAAGGGTCTTTCTTTAAGATCTCTTCTTTCTTGATTTCTTCTATGGGAATTCTTGGGAATTCTTGTGTGGTGAAAGTTATTGTGGTGTGGGTTCTAGGTGCCTCCTATGCCCCTATTTATATATCTAAGAGTCCTAATTAGGGTTTAAATGGTATGGGCTTGCTAATTCTATTCCTTACAGGACTAAGGGGTTGGTTTTAGGGATAAGGGTCCATGGACTATGGTGGACCCCTTTTTAGTTAATTAATGGATTTTAATTCTCTTTTTAGGGTAAGTAATTAAATAATTAGTTTGGTTTAGGGGTCATAACACGGGGTGTTACACTCTTCCCCCCCCCCCCCCTTACAAGAGGCTTCATCCCCGAAGCCGGTGCGTGGATCCATTCTTTCACCCCTGGACGTCACGTATTTTGGCCTCCTGGTTAGGAAATGTGGCTCCACGTGTTGTCTTTGCTGGGGTAGATTGGATTTCTGGTGAGGTGGCGATTGGAAAGTTCGGGTCTACCTTGGTTTCCTGCTCCTGAGCTGGATGCCCTACGAGTGCCCAATATGGTCTCGATTGCTGCCACCCTCTGGTCGAGTGCACGCGTCGCGTGGATTAGGGACGAGAATCCTTCATCAATGATTTGGTTTTGCCAAGTGAGCTGCGCGAGGATGCGCTCGTTGATGGATTCTTCATTTCGGCCCCCTAGGTTTCCCCTTTCTTGTGCGGGCGTCGTGGGTTAGGTTCGCTATCCTCCTCTTGTTCCTCATTTCCTTCCAGTCCCCCACATTCTTGCATTGCCCGTTTTAGCTTTTTGTTGGAGATATCTTGTTGATCAACCAATTCCCTTCGTTCCTCTTCGGGTTTAAGGCAAACCTCCTCGAGGGTGATGTATTGTCCCCCTTCGGTGTAGTAGATGTCATTGCGGCGGAGGTTCTGGGCATTGAAAACCATACCGCTTACGGGCTTGATCTCTGTGTGGCTCAGGTCCACTCTCTTTTTCTCCATGATCCAACTTAGGATCATCCCGTAAGGTAGACTAAGCCGGTTGTTAGTCTTGCAAAACTCCATGTGTTTCAACATAAGGGCCGGTAGATTGAACTTGATTTTGTGCTGTAGGAAGTAGGCAAAGGTACACTCCAGGCTTCCCACATCCTTGCTCTTGTTGTTCGTAGGCAACAAGCTATCAGTTACAATCATGACTAGTATCTTTTGTTCAGCGGTTAGCCATTTCCTGTTAGGTCGGGTGGCCAAGGTGAAGCCTTCTTCCTTTCCTAGTAGGTACCCGAGGTAGTCCATATACCCCGTGCCTTGGGTACCGACCCACCCCTTCCGGTCGTAGTCAGACACACCCGTGGTGGTCAGTTTTTAGGAGTTCGGC